GCTAAATAGCTACTCTTCCACTTAACCCTATTATTTTCATGGTTGTGAACCAATGTAAATACATGTAATTAGCAGGTATATATACAGTGGCTAACCAAAGGAAAACAAAAATATTTCAAGACATAATATAGAAAATATAAACAGATTCAGCAACACGTCAAATAAAATTTTTCTGGCGGTTACTAATCCAAACTACAAACTACTACTTAATTACTACTAATAGTCATTTTTGATAGCAAATGCTGCTTGACACAAACTTTAAATTTAGTTTGAGATAAATGTTTGAATGCATCAAGTAGCACGTTATACAATTTGACACAATTATACCTAAAAGAGCGAGTAAATAACGGTGCCGTGGAATATCTAATAATTTGCCATACCTGAGCATGCGATCTCTAACAAATTGCCTGAAAACAATTTTTTTAAGAGGTATTCGGGAGTTCCCGTGATAATCAAATTATGAATGAAGTTCAAGATAAAATACTCGTAAGAATTATTAATATCTAACCATTTTAAACTACGAATACAGTGTGAAATATGGTCATATTTTCTTAAACCGTAGATGAGGCGACAGCACGAATTTTGAATCAGTTGAAGTCTGCGAATTGAGACTTGATCTAAGTAGGGATAGAAAACTATAAGGCAGTAGTTGATTTTTGAGAGAACTAGGCTTTCACAAAGATGTTTTTCAATTTGAAATTGATGAAATGCCTATTAACAAACAGTGTTTTTAGTACAACAAGGCAGTTTCTTTATGTGGATCTATACAATATTGCTAGCAGCGGATCTATATGTTTTATTATAAATTTGAGCATGTTTATATCACTCTCGTGGCCGAATAGGCTAGACCTCCTAAGGCCATTAATAATAAAAAAAAGCAGTTTCTTACTAATTTAGATATATGCTCACGAAAACGTAAATCCTTGTCAAGTAAGACACCCAAATTTTTTGCAAGATCTTCATAAACTAAAGAAGTGTCATTAATGCGTACTGTCGTGTTATTTCTGATATTAATGATTTTGTTTTTTGGTGCAAAGAGAACAGCTTTAGATTTAGAGGCATTTAGCGTTAAGGAGCTGTGCTTGGAAAAACTAACAATAGTGGGTAAGTCACAATTCAACTCGTCAACAGCTGCCACACAGTCATCTGGATCAAAAGGTTTAGATATTTGTGTATCATCCGCAAATATCATCTCTTCAGAGGAGCGTATCAGTTTACACATGTCTGATATGTAAATGGAGAACAATAGCGGTCCTAAAACAGAGCCTTGAGGGACCCCTGATATCACATTCTTATATGTCGAATATGAGTTGTCCAAATGTACCCTTTGCATACGATTCATGAGATAACTAGTAATGAACTTGATTGAGCTTGAGAAAATCCAATATATTTGCATTTTGAGATCAAAAGTGAATGATTGATAGTGTCAAAAGCCTTGGAGAAGTCAAGCAGTACAAGAGCCGCTGCATGACCCCGATCCAAAGCCTCAACAATATCATCAGTCACCTTAAGCAGGGCAGTGGTGGTGCTATTCCCTACTTTGAAGCCAGACTGGTTTTTTAGAATTATGTTATTCTCAGAGCAGTACTCTTTCAATTGATCATGTACTATCCTTTCCAATATTTTTGATAGAATCGGAAGTAAACTTATTAGGCGCAGGTCGGAATAAGCTGAAGGGTTATTAGTTTTTGATAAGGGAACAATTACTGCTAGCTTCCATGCAGAGGGAAAATAGTGAAGTTCCAGACAAGAATTAATCAAATGCGTTAAATATTTGCCAATCACAGGAAGACACAGTTTTATCACATTAGGCGTAATACCATCATGCCCACAGGCATTAGATTTTATTTTAAATAAATGCGAACGTACATCTTCCTCAGTGGTCATGACCAGATCAAATTTGACCGATTCATCAAGTATGTTATTATCATAAAATTCTATTTCACTAGCACAGAGCTGAGTATTTTCTTCAAAAACAGATAAAAAATAATCATTTATCTGCGTTGCGTTACGTAATCTAACAGGTATGTGGTTACGCTTCTTAGTCTGGCTGTTCAAATTTCTTAGACCCTTATATAAAGAAGATGAATTATTAGTTTCTTGTAAGTGCTGAAGATAACCAGCCTTTTCTCTACGCTGTGATGCAAGAGCCTAATTTCTCAGTTCTGTGTATTCTGTCCAGTTCTGATTTGTCCTATTGTGTTTGTATTTTATTAAAGCTGCATCCCTCTGCTTGAAAATAGCTCTTAAGTTTTGCGTTAACCATGGAGCAAAGTGCTTGCTTACCCACGCTGTACGCAACGGTGCATGTATATCAAACAAAGAAATTATAAGATTGAATGATTCTCTAAAATCAGTTGTACCTCAAAAACATACTCTATCATAGAGACAATTTATAGGCGAGGTAGAATGGTGTGAGAAAGCTTCTGAAGGGGTGGCAGATAAAAAAATATGTGTACAAATTCACTTCCACCCCCAAGGAAATGATTCCCCAAAATCAGTTGTACCTTAAAAAAATACTCTGTTATAGAGACAATTTATGGGCTAGGCGGCATGGTGTGAGAAAGCTTCTGAAGGGGTGACAGCTAAAAAAATATATTTATAAATCCATTTTTATCCCAAGGAAATGATTCCTCAAAACAATACTCTATTATAGAAACAATTTATAAGCTAGGTGCCACGGTGTCAGAAAGCTTCTGAAGGGGTCGCAGCTAAAAAATATGTTCATAAATTCATTTTCACCCCCAAGGAAATGATTCCTTAAAATCAGTTGTACCTCAAAAAAATACTCTATTATAGAGACAATTTATAGGCCAGGTAGCATGGTGTGAGAAAGCTTTTGAAGGGATGGCAGCATTTTGGGAAATCATTTCCTTGGGGGTTAAAATGATTTTATAAATATACTTTTTTATTGTCACCCCTTCAGAAGTTTTCTCACACCGTGCCACCTAGTCTTTAAATTGTCTCTATAGCAGTATTTTTTTGAGCTACAACTAATTTTGGGAAATCATTTCCTTGGGAGTGAAAATGAATCTATAAACATATTTTTTATCTGTCACCCTTTCAGAAGCTTTCTCTCACCATGCCACCTAGCCTATAAATTGTTTCTATAATCGAGTATTATTTTGAGGTGCAACTCATTTTGGGAAATCATTTCCTTGGGGGTGAACATGAATTTATAAATATATTTTTTTAGCTGCTACCCCTTCAGAAGCTTTCTCACCCCATGCCACCTAGCCTATAAATAGTTTCTATAGTAGAGTTCTTTTTTTGAGAATCAGATCATTTTGGAGAATCATTTCTTTGGAGGTGAAAATTAAGTTTTATTCATGTTCTTTACCTACCACCCCTTTAGAGATTTTCTCAGTATATGCTATTCAGCTCATTAATTACTTTCAATACCATATATGCAATAATCCGTAAGTGAAATTTATTCGAATAAAGGTTGTGGGTTAAGTCTTGTTCCTGTGAATTATGTAATAGGGGTGGAAAATGATTCTTCCTATAGGGGTGCTTATTCTCGTGCATATATATTTATTCTTGCGAGCTGTTAGCTGTATCCTTCGCAATCACAGTCTGGTCAAAGATGCAGACGCCACTAGTCATGCGGGTATCTTCTGCAAATTGTGTGATAAATTTTGTCTGATAACTTCACACCAGTGTTATACAAAGACATCCATGGGGATAATTTCAGCAATCGAATTACATTTTGCAAATTGATATCTCATAAAATAGCGAACCACCCGACCTTCCTCCTTTTCACATTATTTAGCGATGAGGCATCATTTAAGAGAAATGGTCCCGTGAATTGCCACAATATGCATTAATTACTCATGAGAAAATCCGCATAGGGTTCGACAAGTGGACAACCAAAATGTATGGTTACTAAATGTGTGGGCTGGCATCAATGGTGATCAAATTATTGGACCAAACTTTTTCCAAGGAGCACTATCAGGTGGAATGTGCAATGTGTTTTTATGGACTGATCTACCTCTTCTGCTTAGAGAATGTAAATTTAACAACTAAGACAAATTTGTAGTACCAGCATGACGGTGCCACCCCTCCCCCCCCCCCCACACATACGAGCGGTAGACTGCTGGCGCCATAATAGTCTAGGTTTCTACTGTTCCGTGTCAGCGTCAGCGCTCTCCTAATTATGTTTTCTTTTTGAAGTGTAGGATATTTAAGGCTGATAAAACAGATGATAAAAATCAAAAGCATAATAATACAAACAGATATTTGTTACATAATCGCAAACATAAAGCGCCTTTCTGAACGACTGGATAAACTATGAAAATCAAGGAGGCCATAAAGGTGTCCTACAATTGTAGGAATGAGTGACGATAGGGCTCTTACATAGATGATTTGATTTCATGTTTAAATACAAGATGTATTTGGTTTTTCTTAAAATTAATAGCAATAACTCAAAAACGTTTGGAAAAAAGTTGTTTAAGTCTTATATCAAGAAAAAGTTCTCAAAAAACAATTTAACGATATAGAAATACACAAGGTGTTCCATTTGAAACAGGTAAATTTTGCGTATTGAGATGCTCTGTATAAATAGAAAGACATTTCATCAGATTAGCTTTATCGATGATACATTTTTTGCCAACCAAGATTAACCTTAATATCTTCAAAATGGCGGAGCTGGCACTTTTCCAGACGTTTGACCAAATATCTAAACAATAGACAGTCGAAGCCATATGTTATATAATACGAAACTTCTTGTTTTTAGAAACTCTATTCAAATATGCAATACAATATAGGATGTTCTATTCAAAAAATATGTTTCCTGTGGCACAACGTTATGGAACACCCTGCATATATTAAAATCAGCACGAAGACAGATTTTTGATACCTTTGCTCAAAAACTACTTTTAATTTAGTTGGGACACCCTGTATACAGTTTTACTTCTATTTTTGTTTTGCAAAACCAGTTAATGATTATTTGATGTTGTGTGTGTTTTACTTTCCCAACTTTTTACTGTTTGATATTCTAGGCAAACCAGTGATCTCATCGATCAACATATCCGACTTACGCTCAGTCTCAAAATCAGAGCTGTCGGACATAGCGAACGCTATTATAGATGGCTCTGATGCTCTGATGATTCCTCAATCAGCCTGTACCAAAGATATCTTCAATTCAATTTGCGTTATATGTAAAGAAGCCGAACCAGCAGTTTACCAAAGGAATATCTTCGAAGAATTGATTACGATCACGCCAGCACCCATGGAAGCACTATACGGAGTGGCTATTTCTGCTGTGGAAGCCTCTTTGAGGACCAGTGCTGCCGCTATCGTCTGCTTGACATCTTCCGGAAGGACCGCTAAGTTACTTGCCAAGTAATCATTTTAATTCACTTAATTTCTTTTTGTTTTATTGGTGTGACTAACTTTCTTGTTTACCAGGGTCACGCTTTGTTGAGTTTATTCCAGCCAACTGGAGTTGGAAATAATAACTTTTGATGCAGTAAAATACCATTAGACGTAGAAATACTAAAACTTCGGAACGCAGGATTTTTGAGGTTTTTAGTGCAATGCGTCTAATTACCAAATATTAAAAAGTATAGCTATGATTTTTGGTCATTTTCTAACTTTCAATTGGTTTTGATATTTGCAAAATTCCATTTTCTAAAGGTGGACTTCACCAAGATTATCAAATCAACAGTCCGTTATTCTCCACCTATAAGGTAGGAGTCCGTCAAATACAGCGAATGAGCTTCAAGTTCCAAGCAACAAATCTTAGCAACCAATAGCTATGAAATGTTGAAAACAAAATATTGTCAAAGAATGAGATAACAGCTTGTCATTGAAGCATCACCAGCTTATTGAATATTAAGAAATTACATATAATAATTCAGTCAAAATTTAAAAAAGTGTTTAATTTTTGAATAAAATTCATGTTTTTTTTTTAATATTCTCAATTGCTTATTTATGTTTATATTCTTCAAATAATATGCGATTTTAATGATTTAACATCACCTACCGTGTGTTTTTTCCCTAAAAACCTCTTGCAGATAGCCATTAAGCACCAACTTGATGTCAGGCTCTACCAAAAATTTCGTAGATATTGCTCGTTTCCAAACATTCATTCAGTTACTTGCCGTTCATCAGTACCATTATAAAACCTTCGATTGATATTCCCACAAAACCATTCAGGATTTTTGATATCCATACATCCATAAAGTCAAATATTTTTCGTTGTTCAGGAACTGAAGAAACATTCACTCTATATTTACAGCGATTAAGAAATACCCAAATATAAGTCGGGAGGGAAACCTAAAACCTGCAAAAAAACTAGAATTTGCAATAACTTTCTTATTTCACTGATTGCACATTCTAGGTTATATTTATGTTAGACATTGAATAACAGCTGATTATTATAATTCAAAACTCCCCAACAAGTGACACATGTGTGGGATCTTTCAACGCTTGGAGCCAGTGGAGTAAGCTCCGCCAACTGTTAAAATATACTCTACTATGCTTTATAAGACTATACGTGGAATTTTTCCCAAAATCGTTGTACAACACTTGAAAAAATGCAAATGAAAATTTAAAATTATCTCCATGACGCCCCAAATAGCTTCGTCGGTACCTCGGGTTATACATCTTGACAGTAGGAATGTTCGATACGATCCTATATTTAGAAGTGTCGATATTTTTGCTTCCCATACCCGATATTTTGGATCGATATTTTTATATACGACACTTGGGTTATCGATACATTTCACGAGTATCGTCATCTTGCGATCCAGACTGTGTCAGAAAGAATGACTAACTTCAGATTACTTTGCTTCTTTGTTTCTTCCCGCTGGATATCGATGATTTTATTCCCATATTTTAGAGTGTCGATACTTCCTAAAACGATAAGAATCGTTACATATCGATACTTTTCGTGGATCGAAACATTCCTAATCTTGACGGCTTGTCGTTCTTGTCAAGTGGGCTGCGGGGTGCGGTGTTGTCTTTACTATTTTACATTTTGCTAAAATCTTATGAATATAAATTCATATTGCAGGTTTCAGATTGTCTATGCATAGACTTGAAACGGATTTTTCGGTATTTTTATCGGAGTGAGAATATTTACCGAAAACGTAATATTCCACGATTTTTAAAAATAATTTAAATATTTTCATACTTGCTGAGAAAGAGCCAAAACCAAAAATAAAGCTAAAAGTTGATATTATGTAGTCTTCATAGTTTTATGCCCCATATCAATTATACATATGCATGCACACTCAGGCAGACGGGCACATGGGAGGCGTAGATTTGGGCTGCCTACAGGGTTTGTCCGGAAAGTAATTCTCATTTTCTCTCATTTTCTTCCGCCATGACTGTACTTCGGAGCGTGCGCGCACCGACTGGATTCGGTAAAGGGCGTTCCTAGCTAACGAATGAGCGGCTGGTCAGTTGTCTCCGAGAACTTAGAGAGTCAGGACAGGCATTTTCGCGCAACGTGTTTCTGTGAGTGGTGCAAGCCGAAAATGCAGCGGTCGTTAGAGCAGAGGTACGCGATTAAATTATGTGTGAAACTCGATAAATCTGCGACGGAGACGTTTGATATGATCAAGCAGGCTTACCCAGGTGTTGCTTTAGCAAGAAATGGTGTGTTTCGGTGGCACCAAGCCTTTTTGGAGGGCCGGGAAGAGGTCGCTGATGAAGACCGTGCTGGAAGACCTTCGACTTCGACAAACACCGATAATGTGACCTCGTGTGCGCAAAGTTTTGAACTCAGACTGTCGACTAAGTATTCGTTTAATTGCCCAGATGTTAAATTTACCAAAATCCGTGGTTAATGGCATTGCGACACAGCATTTGAACATGCGCAAGGTGTGCGCGAAGATGGTCCTCCCAACAGTGCTCACTGACGACCAGAAATTGCGGCGAGTGGAAGTGTGCCAAGAAAATTTGAACATGTGTGAAAGTGACCCCCAATTTTTGAATAACGTAATCACAGGTGACGAGTCGTGGATCTTTGAGTATGATCCCGAGACAAAGAGGCAATCTTCCGAGTGGCACACGACGGCGTCTCCTCGCCCAAAAAAGGGAAGAATGAGCAAATCCAAAGTGAAAACGATGCTCATTGTCTTTTTTGACATCAAACGCATCGTTCACCATGAATTTGTTACTCCTGGACAAACCGTCAACGCCAAGTTTTACGTGGAAGTGCTCAGGAGACTCAAACGAAGGGTTATCGCAGCCGACTGCAAGTTGCACCACGACAACGCCCCGGCTCACACCGCCTTTCTTGTGAACAGCTACCTGACCAAGGCCGGCATCCCAACGCTTCCGCAGCGCTGCATCGACGCAGAAGGAGCCTATTTTGAAAGTTTTTAAAGAATTGTAACTATTGGCTCAATAATTTTTTTTAAATCGACTCAGTCCTATTACTTTCCGGACAAACCCTGTATGATTACGAACGCACATCCTCATCCCTTACTCCGCTTGCCCTGAATTGATTTTTCTGCGTACAACAGGTACAGACTAGTAGATTACTGTCATAACCTTATCACCGGACAAGCAATAAAGAAACCAAAACCTGTCTGTTTTCAAAATTAATATTTGATTAAAATGTGTCGTGAATTCATGAGTCCAGAGGTAAAACAGAAAAATATTCACAATCCTATAAGCATGAATCAAAAAAGAAGTTTCCAGAATGGTTACAAAGTACTTAGAAAGAGCGACCAGTTTGCGCATTGTACAACTTGTAGTATAGAACTATGCCTTCAAAAAACATGTGTGGGCGCTCAATGCAATAATAAACGTTTTTCATAGACGGCGCTGTGCGACTCAAAGGTCCTTGATCCACCAGTGGTCTTGGGACTGCATTTTCCTCCTACCGAATTCAACGACGCCATTTACCGATTGCAATAGAAATCAGTGATATTCAGAGAGTTTTGACAGCTTCCGTCAAATTGCATTTCAATAAGGTATTTTCCCATTGGCCCAAACTGACCGTCAAATATTAATATTTGTGAAATTGTCTCTTAATATACAATTATTTAGGTTTCTAATGAACCAGCTGGATCTCGTTGAACTGAACAAAAAAGCTCATGTAAATTTATTTATTTTACGGCATCGTTACTAAGATACAGGTCGTTTCTTTTAATTCATATATTTTTGATCTCTTTTAAATAACGTGATTGATTTAGATGAGACGTTGTGAGTAGGGGGTAAACGTTAAGGAACATGAACTGTATTGGTTATATCCGAATCAATGGTCGTTATCAAATTTGAATAGGATGTTTTACGATTCAACCAAGCACATCACTGTTTTCTTTGTCAGTATGGTGAAGATACTTTCAGACCCTTGGATTGCCCTTTTATTCATTGGGAAACGAACAAAAACGTTGGAATATATTTGACTTATACGAATCAAAATGGATAAAACTAGAGCAATCTAGGAAAACTTTACACCTTCTAGTTTATTTCTGTGAGTTTCAAATTCAGTTTATCAATATGCAAGTGGGAATTTTGATTCATCTTGTCCCTTCAGTGTACCCATAAACAAGCCAGAGGTGTGCTTAGTTAAAAGCCGCCCCTGAGATAATTCATTTGGATTAAGCTAGTACAAAATGAGTAAATTAATGCCTACGGTCGATTCATAAAAGATTATATAAATTACTCAACTAATTTAAAATAACAGTATTAGAAAAAAAGAACTTGAACACTATATACCGAAATGTAACATTTGAAACTAATCCATCACAAGGGTGATCTTCTTCAATACAATGACAATATATTTTATTCATCTGTGTTTACTTATCTATGTCAGTTCTTTTTGATCTTTTAATTTTCACATTCCTATGCAGTGTGTTGCTAACAATAGTCTGAAAGTCGTGTAACATGCTGAGATTGTGCAGTCATCATTCCGAATTTTAAGACGGCGCCACGCAAAAACATTGTCCAGGAATGTGGAATAAAAGAACATAAAGGCTATTTATTTAACAATGGAAGAAACCTTAAAATCGGCACTAAGTGAACATTGTATGGGAAACAAGACATAGGGTAAAACGAGAAAGAATCACAATACTATATAAAGGGGATTGCAATCACAAAAGGAAGGTAAAGGAATTAGCCTAGAAAAAATTTAACAATTATTGTCTTTCTAGGTCTTATGTGGACTGTGATCCAATTTGGTTGAATATCCTTAAAGGAAAGGTCTAATTGATATTTTCCTACCTAACTAATGGACCTTGGGTTTTTATCGAGATTATTTCTCATGGTGTGTTTTTGGATCTCAAACGCGCAAATGTTCTGCTTTGCCATCTCAAGGCCAAACTGTTGTATCCTATATTATTTTCTCCCAGTACAAACAACATTATTCTTGCATTTCAGATCCA